AAAAAATAGCACAGAGAACACTCAAATCTATGCGAAAAGTGAGTAAAGTGTCGAAGTGTGTATTCCAGTAAATTTTCATTTTAATTTAGAATTTCAATTAAAAATTGTACAACGCTTGGTTGTTCAAGAGTTTTTGCCCTTATTCCCATGCAGTTGTTGCTGTTTAACTTGAAGTGGAGAAAGAAAGTTGTTGCTGGCCGAAATATGCACACGAAGCAAGTGTAAATTTTAGTTGGTTTACAAATGGGGGTAGAAGATGCATTTTAGGGAAGCGGGAGGAAAGAAGAAAACACTAATTGGGCCAGTGTGAGCTCTTAAGCAAAATGATTGGGGGATTTTAAATTAGACAAAAATTTACGTTAATTGAGGAAGAGTACTGACCCGAGAATTTTTACAACGCTTTTATCAACTTGCAATGTTGTGGCTCCAGAAACTTTCAATGTTGTGGATCCAGAAACTTTCAATGTTGTGTGTCCGACACCATAAAACCTTTGCTTTGAAAAGTTCCTATAAAAAAGCATAGTGCATAGGGCGACATCTGTAGTGAATAGGGCGAGGTAGATGACATCTAGATGTCGCCCTATGTACTACGTTCGCTACAGCGGAAATAACGGACACGCCATTTCTTTAAATAAAATTAATTGGTGCTCGTTTGTATGTACATACATATGTAAATGCATGTGTGTGCACCTTTCTATTAATATCGTTGAATTATTTTAATATCTATCGCAAAATTTTATACAGACAAGACAAAAAAGTAGAAAATAGAAAAAAGAAGAAATAGAATAGAAATAGAAATAGAAAATAATATTTCTGAGTCCCATAGAATTTGTTTTGATAACTTTTGATTTTGAAATTTTAGCAAAAGTCGTTATAACCAATTTATGAGATTGAAAATGAAAAGCGTGGGGCGCATGCAATACAAAGCATTATCTTTAATTGACAATAGGCAAACTACATAACATAGACCTAAAATTTCTTCAGCGAAAGTACAAATTTGAGATCGATTTTAAGCGGTCGTTATTCATATATCCACATACATATGAACATATATTACCCTTCATATCAATTCAGGTGGCTATTATTTTTTTTTTTTTTTTATTTGCTTGCATTAAAACATTTGAAATTTAACGCAAAAAATCTCATTCCAACAAGCCGTTGGCTGAACAATGTTAATTTATTTCTTTCTAAATTGTCTACCGAATATAAACTTTACCCAAAAGCTTTTCCGCATGTAGGCTCAGGTGTGTACGTGTACGTTCCCGTGTTTGTGTTTAGGTCTTATTTACAAAAATTGTAAAGATACATAAAACAGCTGGTCATACGAATTAGCTGGAAACATTAGCCACTAATTTCACGTTGTAAAATTAAGCTAAATGAAAGTAGTAAGAAAAATGTATATTTTGTTTAATATTTATATATTTTTTTTGTTGAGTCCTTTCAAGGTCAAAACGGCGCGTGCCGCCAAAGTCGAGCCATAGCAGAATTAGAAACAAAACAGGTGCTGTAATTTATGAGGAAACTTCGCCTAAATATCTGTTTAATCGATTTAGGACAGAAGTAATCAGAAAAGTGCCAGCGATCACGGAACAGCGGGCAAGATTAGATCGCCCATATATAATATAATTTGTCGAAGCTGTCAGCTGTTGGGTAGCGACAAAATGTTCGGTAGTACCTATGTGAACGCTCAGACCTTGCAAATATTAGTTACCAAATACTAAGAAGGCACTTAATAACACAACCAGCGGACTTGTCAGTGGCTAGTTACAATAAGATAACTAGTGAAACATTTTACTAGTTAGCTACTAGAAAGCCGGTTGTTATGGAATAGGGAAACGACGCAAATCAGAAAGCTGTATACATCAGGCTGACCACAGTGGGATTACTGGAGTACTAGGGAAGCCTCGGATCCGGGCTCTAAACGTCATCCTTAATATAGTAAGCCTTCCAGATCATTGTAGTGTTTTACAGGCGGAGGAAGCTGCCCTAAAGGAAGCAGTCGGTTGCAAGCTCAATTGCGCGACGTCGACAAGAAAAAAGGTACATATGTATCTACTCTCATAGCCAGGTGGAAATCAGGGTCTCAACGCGCTGCCACTGCGCCTGAAGCAGCCTTATTGCGGGAATGTCTGACTACAATTTTAGTTGTGTCTTAATTATTTCCTAGTGAGGCTTACATGAGTAGCTGCTATTGCAGGAAATGGTGTTGTGGATGAGTTGCCTAGGAGAAGCACCCTAAAGGAGGGAGTCGCAGCACCTTGACCACATGCGGACTATTTTTGAGCCTCTTGTCCAATCAGCGAGGGCTGAGCGAAAACCATCACATGCGCAAGGCCTTTCTGGATGAAGGTAGCTGAGGGCGGTTAAGGGATTTTGTTAGACACCGTAACTTTAGATAGCGCAATATTTAAAACCCCTGATGAGCCCTCCAAGACTGAAATTCCCCGTATGCGAGAACTCATTTTCGTCGAACAGCGGGTTCCGCTCTGTCTTATCTTACCTAGTGGGATCACAAAGGACTGGTGTTTATGGTCCAACACTACTTGCAGTTGGGACAACTTCCTCAGCCTATCCTCTATTCGTTATCAATTGTAATATATTAAAATAGATTAAAGTGATGAAGTAATTCTTGATAATTGGTGAATGTGTGTATGTATATATATAAGTCAACGGCAATATTCTTACCCTTAGTTCTCACTTTTCTTCATTAATATTTCATTTCTACGTATGTATGTAAGTCACTGCGTATTATAACTATTATTATTGCAACATAAAAGAAAAATATTCAAAAATCGGATTCCAAAAGACGAACAACATGGAAATAAAATTAATAAAGGGCAAGTGGAACTCATTTTTGTTTAAATTCAACGCTTGCCGCAGCATTGCAAATTAATAGATTGTTTATTAAAAGAATAAACCATTTTCGTTTAAAATGAGCGAGACAAATGAATTAATTTGAAATCATTCATTTCCGGAATGCAAAATGAAAAAAAAATTAAATGAAGCACAGATTTATTCTTAAAATTAAAGCAAGAGGAATAACAAGATAAACAAATTGCGAAGACAATCAGTGTACGAGTAACAAGATTCTAATTAAAAAGAGTAAATATTAAATACTCTAAGAATACCGCGCCAAGGAAAGGGAACGAAACTAAAAACACTTGAACTTCATAATTGAAAAGGAAATAAATAATATAAAAAAAACTTTTTAATATACAACGCTTTTATAAATGGACTAAAAAGTAGAAAATAATACTTCTAAGTCCCATAGAATTTGTTTTGATAACTTTTGATTTTGAAATTTTAGCAAAAGTCATTATAAACAATCTATGAAATTGAAAATGAAAAACGTGGGGCGCATGCAATACAAAGCATTCGATTTAATTGACAATAGTCAAACTACATAACGTAGACCTAAAATTTCTACAGCGAAAGTAGAACTTTGAAATCGATTTTAAGCGGTCGTTATTCATATACCCACATACATACATTCATATATTACTTTTCATATCAATTCAAGTGTATTACATGCGCCCTACGCTTTTCATTTTCAATTTCATAGATTGTTTATAATGACTTTTGCTAAAATTTCAAAATCAAAAGTTAACAAAACAAATTCTATGGGATTGAGAAGTATTATTTTCTACTTTTTAGTCCATTTATAAAAGCGTTGTATATTAAAAAGTTTTTTTTTTTATTATTTATTTTCTACTTTTTAGTCCTGTCTGAATAAAATTTTGCAATAGATATTAAAATAATTCAACGATATTAATAGAAAGGTGCACACACATGCATTTACAAAGTCTAGCCAAAAAGCCAGCAACTCACACAACAGGTTCCCCAGAGCAATTCGCTCGAGAAAGTGGTACCCGGTACACGTAATACGCGGCACACAGCACAACAATCCGCCAAAACAGGCAACCCGGCCCAAAATTACCACCGTAGAAGGCAGAAACCCCGAGCGGCAGTGCAGGAGCCCAAGAATTATCCTTAAAACGGCCACAGGAGCTTAAAAAGACCAACTGGTCCCCAACTGGTCCGAAGGTAAGTAGTTTCGGACTAGTTCCCGGACTGGTCCCCGGCTGGTGACCAACTGGTTCACGAACTAGTTACCAACTGGTCCCAAAGTGGTTACCAACTGGTCCACCTATACCTCAAGTGGTCCACAAGTCACTTCACTTACAAAGCATTCGATTTAGTTGACAATAGTCAAACTAATTTTATTTAAAGAAATGGCGTGTCGTCTATTTCCGGTGTAACAAACGTAGTACATAGGGCGACATCTAGATGTCATCTACCTCGCCCTATTCACTATGCTTTTTTATAGGAGCTTTTCAAAGCTTTGCTTTGGTGTCGGAACACAACATTGAAAGTTTCTGGATCCACAACATTGAAAGTTTCTGGAACACAACATTGCAAGTTGATAAAAGCGTTGTAAAAAAATGCAAAAGAAGACAGCGGAAAAAAAATACTTAAACGAAGTATGATGGTAAAACGAAAGAAAACTATGCTGAAATTTACATAAACAACACAGCGAAAGCATTACGAACTTCAGTGAAAAATCTAAATAAACACGAAATAAAAAAGGAACAAAAAAATGCGTATACAAAAAACGGCAAAGGTAAGCAATTCGAGCAGATAGAAAATTTATTTACTTTCCAGGAAAATTACGGCAAAGGCCACAGCGACGAAATAGCAGCGCCGCAGCAAGAATCATTCATTGGCTGCGGCAATCCACGTACGAACAGCAGACGCTGCTGTGGCCAGGTCAGCGTCAGCAGTCAGCCGTCAGAGTTTATTAAATGTTTACAAATTGGGCGCGGCAGGCGGAAACTGAACAATGCACGCTTCGCCGATGGCAATACAAACAAGATGAACGCTATTTAGTGACGCTTTCGAATTGGTGGCCGATACGCTGGAATTGGCTGATTTTTCATGAATTTACAAAGTGCTGATTCAAGGTTTGCGCATTTAAATTACAAAGACATTAATTTCCATGGTGGAATAATACAAGGTGTTGGATATTGACAGCGTTCTCGCTCTAATCCGCCATCTTGGCTCCCTTAGCTATATCAGTGTTTCCCTCTTGAAAAAACTACATTTTATCGCCTTTAAAAAAAGTACTAAACTACCTCATTCCCTATTCCAAAACCGATTTGCAATCACTGAACAATTCTTTGACATTTACTCTATTCTTATCGTTGGCAACTGAAAATTAAATTAGAAATTTCAACATTAATTCGGCAAAAAAACATCGGTTTAGAGTTCTCCCCAAGGATTTGTAGTTATTTTGGTCGGTGCTTCCTTCCGCTGCAATTCCGTCTGTGGTTCACTGCCACTGGCCTTGCTTTTTCAACGATATAACTGTTTTCTTGGTAAGTTTAGATGGAAGATTTAAACAAGAACTACGTATTTAACTATGCATCTATTCCCCAGTGATTTTTGCTGCTGCAATCCCGTCTGTGGTTCACTGCCTCTGGCCCTGCTTTTCCAACGATATAACTGTTTTTTTGGTAACTTCTACCGCTAAGACTTTGTTGCTTTTTCCCCTTTCCCTAAAAACATAATAGTGCTACAAAGCTCAATAACAATATGGAAACAAATGTTAATAAGCCACAATAATATTGACAATAAATAAGATTTCACTACGATTGAATTTTCTATTAGTAACAGGGTAGTTATAGTGAATGTTTTATTCGATAACTAAAACTATATTTGATGTTTGTAGCGATAAAAATATGCCTAAATCAGCCAAATACCCTATGTGGGTCGGCTGAATCAGTAAAACGTGACAGTAGTTGACTTTTGAGGTTAATATATCGGTCTTGAGTTGGTAAGGTTTTTAAAAAATCCGCAGCTTCCTTTAAAGCATCGCTGCTAATTGCTGAGAAAACCAGATTGTATTTACCGACATAAGATGTGGTCTTGTACGACTGAAAGGTGGCCTCAATTTGTAGAAACCATTTGTCTGTCATCTCAGTTCAGAACGGTCGCAGCTTGCATTGCGATGCAAGCTCCACATCTTTAGTTGGCATTTTGATCGATGAAATATTCTCCCAATCCGTCGATTCGCCCTTTTGTCGATTCCGTCATGTTGTAACGACTCGGGGTCACCACTAATTTTTTGGTTTTGGAAGTTTGACTATAATTATAGGACATTGTGTTTAATAAACTAAATTACCATTTATTGCATAAGTACTACGTTATATATACTACTTTCGCGAATTTAGCTTATCATAATATACCGTTTGTAACTATTTATATGCAAAATTTTATATGAAAAATAGTACCAAATTTCGTACTACTTCGCAAAGCGGGCTTTTTTTCTTCCCGTTTCTCTCGTGCTTCCATATTACAACCTTTTGTAAGGGAGCTGTCGACATGAGCTGTCACTACGTACAACACCTTGTATAATTCCACCATGATTAATTTCATGTTTACACGGGAGAGAGGAAGAGAAATAAAGGAAAACGTTGCAATAATAGAGATACAACAACAACAATGACAGTTGAAGGAAATATTGTGTGTAGGGATATACAACGGCATATACATATTTACAAAAATTTGTGTATGGCAATATGGCAAAAATTTAAAAAAAAAACGGGGCTTTGCTGGAGTGTTCAAGAATGAAGGAAACCACAGAAGAAAGACGAAGACGTAGCAAAAAGGTGCAAATATTGAATCAATAAAGGGCTTCTAAGGTCAAACCATTCGTTGCAAGTTTAGCTAAGTGTTTTTTTATTTTTTAGAAAAAAAAAATTTGAAACACTCGGCAGCAATTTGCAGTGACAAAGTATTCGAAGCACCTTTTGAACCTTTAGCTTTCAATTACAAGTGATGGAAGGCAATTCTCACAATGCATTACCAAACCTAATTAAAAAAGGGTTGAATGATATTTTTCCGAAAAGCCCTTTTTTAAATCACATCCATTAAAGGTGCATTTCTTAAGGATGTGATTTAAAAAAAGCCCAAGGCTTTGCGAAAAAACACCATTAAAACCAGTAAAAAGTAATCGTATCTACCAAACGGGAATGCCAAGACGTAGCTCAGGCTTTCTCTAGTATTTTAAGAGCAAGTGATTACAATTATATATCGGCACCTGAGTGAATGATCGACCTATCTTGGCAACCACTTCGAAAACGCCCTATCCCATACAACTTTTGCAAAACGTACTATATTAGAATTTGATTGAAAAACGCCATTTCACAGAAAATTTTTAAAGAGCATATAGTATAAATAGTGTATACGCTTTCCGCATAGGTTTTACAACAGTTAAGCGATAAAAACCGGAATGGGGATTTTTCTAAAACTTTTTACAGAGATTTCTCTAAATTTCTCGTTTTCTTGTTCCAAACATTTATGTAGGTACCCAACTAGAATTTCGAGAGGACACATTCGCATCGAACTGACGTCGCCACAATGCAAATCGTAATGAACGTTCTTTAAACTACCATAGGTATTACGAATTAAAAAATGTTGAATAAGGTTGTCACAACAACTATTGCAGATGGTAAGACTGTTGCGACAGGTGTAAGAAGGCGATGAGAGTGGTATTTGTGACGGCAATACTGTCGAGGTGCGGTTGCCGTACTTGTTCACCGCACGCGTTATGCTTGCTTCACTCAAGTCCACATTTTTCATCTTTTAAGTAAATCATAGTCTTATTTCAAAATTTTTGTAGTTTTTAGGTGATTTGATATAGCAATGAAATAGTTTTTTCCCAAACTTGAAATGCATATTATGACGAAGGTTTAATGTATGTAGGTATATTATGTACGATATCGGGTACCGAAAGGAAGTATTGGGTACCAAAATTTGTTTAATGTATTGGTCACCGACAATTTAGTACATCACTATCTTAGGCTCATTCTCACCTCTAGGATGAGTTTAGATAAGTATCTAGTCGGAGACTGTCTCGGGATACATTAATCCGGTTCTTCAGGCCAATAAAGTCGAAGTGTTTAAATATTGTCGCATACTAATATACCCCGGTGATGGAAAACCCAGTTTTTCTTAGCCTAAGGTCGGAGCGACTCCAGAATTACCTACAGTGTCTATAGGTATGAAGATAATGATAGCGTTAAGCGCTAGTGTAGATGTAGATCAGAGCGTCTCATTCAGTTATTCCAACAAGCATGGCACTGAACACCCAGTCACAATTTCTAAGTACTTAATGTAGAAGATGGACATAGTGCAGCGTATTAAAATACAGCGCCACAGCTCGCTTGGCCATGTATTTTCAGTCTACGCAGGCCGTGTGATTGGATTAAGTTAATAATACAACTTTTTGCATTTGTGCAGGAATATTGGCACCTGTTCCCGGTAACTTCAAGTGTTAATTGCCAAACCAGGTTATTGAGGAAATTGAACAAAAATATTTTGATGGGGCCAGAAATTGTGAGAATTTTGTGGCTTGCTTGCTAAAGAATATACGTATTATTATTTTTTTTTTTAAATAGTAAAAAGCAGGACGCATTATAATCTACAAATGTTAATTTTATTCCATTTATGTTTATTCAACATCACCTGATTCCAATTATACAAACAACCAAAAAAGTAACAGCCTCATTAGACATTTCGTTTGCTAAAATGTATTTAATATTAAAAGTACACTACTAAATAATAGCTAAATAACTAAGAAATATCTGCTGGCTTACTGAGTATTGTTTTGTGTTAATTCCGACAAAAGAAGGTATGCGTAAGCACACGTCACTGCCCATGGCATTTAAACATTTTGCATTAAAAAATAAATAATTAAATTTCGCCTTTGGCATTCCCGAGAAAATGCTGTGCATTAAAAAGCATAAATAGAAACAACAAATAACAAACAATGCCAAAAAAATAACAAGCAAATATAAAATGATTTGAATGTATCTGCTTATGGCATAAACTGCTGTGGGAACGAGTGTGTTGAGGTGAATACGCTTGTAAACGAATGTATGTACATATGTATTGTTTATTATTATGTTTTCGTTTACAATATTCCTTCCAAACTTTGTGAAAATGTACAAACAGCACAAATATGTATGTATTAAATGTATGTAGAAGCTTCTTCATGGTCATTAAAATTGAAAACTTTATGCTGCTGCTACTCATTACAATCGAGTTGATTTAGAATAAGAAGAAGGCAGCTTTTAATGTAATGTATGTGCGATTATGTACTCGAAGGCACATGAAAGTATACTTTTAATTAGCTACACATGTCTGGAGTTAAAATTGAAATGTAATAAAATAAAAAAACGTTTACCCTCGAGAGCCTATGGAACAAATGTATTGCCCAGAGAGCGAAGCAAAGTCAATGCTCCATCGTTTTGCAATAAATATTTATGTATGTAAGAAAAGCTAAATTTAGATGTAAAATTAAAAGCTTTTTTTATGGATGCATAAAATCGAAATAAAGCAGACGATGTGAGTGCCATGATGGCGAAGTAAAGTCATGATATACCCTTAATATATGTACATTTCCAAGTTATTGGAGGAGAGTATTGAATTCAAGTGCACTGATGTCACTCATACGCCACGTTGTACTGAATGAGTTAGCCAGCTGTTGTAAGCAACTGTATCGAATGAAACAATTCATTTATGTTTTAATTGTATTGAATTT